TTCCACCCCACCCCCCACCACAAATTCGTATGTTGAAACCTAACACCCAAAGTGAGGGTACTTGGAGGTGGGGCCTTCGGAAGAGGGTTGGGTCATGAGGGAAGTCCCACCCTAGAAAGCTCCCTAGCCCCTTCCACTATGTGAGGTCACAGCAAAAAGACCACCAGCCATGAACCAGAAGGTGGACTCTCACCAGACACTGAATCTGCTGGCACCCTGATCTTGGGCTTCTCAGCCTCCAGACTGTGAGAAATGAATTCCCGTGGTTAAGGAGTCACCCACTGTATGGTGTTTTGTTACAGCAGTCAGAGCTGACCAAGACACAGAGCCTGACTGGCAGCTGTCTGCCTGCACACATTGCTCCTGCTACCTGTTCTCTGCTCCCAGAAGGCGGAGGGTCAGAAGATTCTCACCACCACATCCTTACAGCACCCTGCAAAATCACTCTTTAAGACCAGGTTTGATTCTCAGCTTTTATTAGCTGTGTGACTCGGCAACAGTGACAACTCTGTGTGGCTCCTTCAAGTGAAAAGGAGCAATACTACTACTTACCTATCAAATATTGTGATGCTAAAGTGACATATAGTGCACCTCAAAGGGACAGTTATTTCTCTGTGTAAAAGGCAAGAAATTTAATTTAATAAATGAAATATAATTAAAAATTAAAGGTTTAATTAACTTCAGAAAATAGTTGATACACATCTCTTCTATTGCTTAGAATAGTCAAATTAATATAGGATATTTCCATTGTTTTAAAATCATAAACTATTGCTTATTGTGAAAACAGTTATATTTAATTTTCATTAAGTTTCCCTGAAATGTTGCTACAATTTTGAACATTCAGAAAGAGTCAAATAAACATGTAGGAACTGACAATTGCTATTCTTATGGGGAAACTAAGTCAGCAACATAGCATTTCTAGGATTAAGGAAGAGGAAAGGAGCAAACATTTATTAAGCATTTTAATCTGATCTTTAATTTAACCATCACACTGCATCATCTTCTTATGAGTATGCAAATCAAGGCTCAGGAGAGTTTTGGAAACGTGGGTGACAGAATTTGAACACCAATTGACCTGATTTTCCTTCCTTCCTTCCTTCCTTCCTTCCTTCCTTCCTTCCTTCCTCCCTCCCTCCCTCCCTCCCTCCCTCCCATTGGCAAGGTTTAGTGGTCACTGGAAAATCCTATCCGAAAAGAAAAGCTATGTAATAAATATCCTAAATTTGAAACTAAAGTAACCATCTCTACCAAAAGATGTTAAACTCTTGCGTGATTATTGCATTTCCAATCAGGCCAAAACAGGTTAGAAATGAAAACTACAAAGTAAACAAAGCAAAAAAAAAAAAACTTTAAAATTTTTACTCTTTAATCCTATGGTGGCAAATTTACAGAGCAAATTTATTACCAGACAAGAATATCACCAAGAGTAAAAGATGGGAGATGGATAATAAATGTGTATTTTGACAGCATCAAAAACAGAACACATAGCCATTTTAGGTAACATATTAGTCAGAAAGATTCCCTTTACTGATGGCATTGAGCTTACATCACTTATCTCTGCCATCTGCCACCAGTAAAGTTTCACATTAACCTCTAAGAGCAAAGTGTACCAGACTATGGTTATTTCCCTAAATCAAGTTTCAGTGTATCCAAAGAGAGAAATGATGGAGTTAGTTGTTATTAAGCAACAGTTAATAATTACTTAGGTATTTTGGCTAAATATATCTTTAACTCTATAATCTAAATATTTCCATCTCATTATTCAGAGACTGAAAATTTATGTCATGTTACACTGAAATCCCAATTGCCATGCGTTAGAGCATCTACCTACTTCCCTTGTAGGATTTCCAGTCTTGCTTAGGGCTCCCTTGCCCAAGTATCTTGATATTTCTCACTGCTCAGAAATCAATTCCTCTCTCTATCTCTTTTTTTTCCTGCTGAATAGGAATTTATACTATCACTTCTTCTCAGAGAGCCAACTGCTCAGTGTTGTATTCTAGAGGTCCCCACTCTCCTGTCTTCCTGACATTTCCCAAAGCTTCCATGACTACTGTGTCCCTGAACTGACAGCCTAAGGGCCAAGTCCTGACAACCTCAAAGACTCATAGACTTAGTTCCTGTTGACTTCATGTCCATCATCAGGCTCACTGCCATTGAATCTTGGGTCTTTGAGTCTGCTAACACAAAACCATGACTCAGACATCAGTGCCCACTAACTGGGGTTATTCAAAAAAGACAAAAGGGAGGATGCTACTTCCTTCAGTCAGGAGTGCATACACACACACGAACACACATATACACACACACACACACACACAACTTGACCCCCAGGGTTTACAAATCTAGTGGTGTGGGCCCTCAGATTCACCCACTCAGTCCATTTTCCCCCATGTATACTCCAAATTTCAGGCTGGCTGGTTTGGGTGGGGAATTACTACCCATCCCCAAGTTGACCAGAACCAAAATTATCCATGCCACGTTCTCATCTCCAGCATCCTTTATCCTTTCTTGACATCTCTCCTTGGTTGGAGCTCCCCTTGTCTCACTGTATATGCATATGAGTGTTTTCTATTTCCAAGGCACAACTCAACCAATGATAAATAAAATACAAAGAGTCTACCATTTGTTTTAATCTGAAACTCAAAGAGAAGATATGGTACCTACCAAATCCTTTTTTCCTAGAAGGTTGTTCTACCTCATCTATAGTCATGTATTCAAACAGCTCTGTGGGAGTAGCCAGGTAGAATCTAAGGCCCAATCAATATGCTGTGTCGGGAGCTGCACCACTCCAAGTATCTACAGAGTCTGAGCCCCAGGTCCCTACTCAGTCAAAGCTTGTTGTACACCAGTGACATACCAAGGACAGGGCAGTGGCAATGGTCTACCCGGGTGCAGGCAGCAAGTGTGTACTTTGTCTGTGGTGTTTTGCTCTTTATTATCACGACACACCAGCAATTCTAAACAGTATCAGTGTTAAAATACTCTTCCGAGAGGAAAAAAAAAATTTTGTTGGTCTAAGTTAAGAGTCAGTAAACTTTTTCTGTAAAGGGCCAGATAGCAACAATTTGGGGCTTTGGGGGACATAAGGTGTCTGTCACAATTATTCAACCTTGAAACTATAGAGAGAAGGAAGCCATAGACAAAACAGATGGCTGGGAGTAGCTGTGTTCTAGTAAAACTTTATTTATAAAAGTAGGCAGCAGGCATGATTTGACTTAGGCTATAGTTTGTGGTCTACATTCTAATAACTGTTGTGTTTACTGATGAGTTTTAATAATATGAGTAAGCTTAAAACGTGCATATTTTTATTACTTACCCTTTCATAAACATTGGATTCTGTATGTAAATTAATTTAGAGAACTTCCTGTTATACAGTAATGCTGATACATGCGGACTCAACTACATGACTTAACTCCTAGAGTAAATTCTCTTTTTTTCTCTTAAAAAAAAAAAACTGAAGTATAGTCTACTTACAATGTTGTGTTAATTTCTGGTATACAGTGATTCATTTATATATGTATATATATGTGTGTATATATATATATATTCCTTTTCATATTTTTTATTACAGGCCATTACAAGGTATTGAATAGCGTTCCCTATGTTATACAGTAGGAACTTGTTGTTTTAGAGTAAACTCTTAACAGTAAGGAATCATTTGAGCTTGCTTCGACTTAGTTCCAGTCTCAAACTCCTATGGTACTACATATTTTTGCATTTAGACATAGATTTAAAATAAACAGTGACTCCAGTGAGGTAAAAGAAGAATAAGCAGAAGCTGGGTTATTTGAATTTTACTATACTATTTCCTTTGAGCACATGCATCCCTGCTGACCCTTTGTTCAGATTTCCTCTTTCTCTAAAGACACAGTGAGATTGCATTAAGACCCATCCTAATGGCCTATTTTAACTTAATCACCTCTTTAAAGACCCTATCTCCAAATATAGTTACATGCTGAGGTACTGGAGGTTAGGGCTTCAACATTTGAATTTGCAGGGGGGGACACAATTCTGCTCATAACATACAGGATGAATTAAAAATATAGTCTTAGTTTTTTAAGCCTAAAGGGAAATCGGATTCCACTTACTCGTTTTATAGCTCAAGGAACAAATGTTTTTCCAAGGCAAGCCAGCAGTGAAACCATGGCAGCCCAAATCTGAGCTCAATGCCCTTCCCACTCAAGTTTACAGTATATTTTTTCCTATTTTTCCCCCAATGGCTGTCATTAAAATAGTACTTTTGCGATATGTCATTATATTACCTCTTGTACAAAATTTCTTATTTTGGTTTTTACTCTAAACATTATTGTACATACTTCTATTGCCACACTATGCAAAACAATACACTTGAAAAAAATCTCCATTGAGGCCTAGAAGCTCGGTTATTTGATACAAATGCTGATAGGAACCTGAAAGGAAAAATGCATACGGGAGGCCAATACTTTTAATGATTATAAAGGGCCTTATCCTTCCCATCTGTCCCCCCAAGCTGCCTTTTATGGAAATAAAGTATATTTGGGACAATTTGAGAAATAATTCTGATTCAAGGAAGAATCAGGCATCATGTGTTTTCCATAAAACACAGCAGTTTAAGCTATATTCCATGAGGGAAGGAAATATTTGTGAAAGAAAAATGTAATTACTAAAATCAAAAGAATTACACAGCAGGAGGATGATTTTTCCTAAAAGAGGAATATTTAAAAACTGAGGGAATTTTTCCTACAGCTTTCTCTGCAAATTTCCCAATTTCTAAAAGTCATTTAGTGATCGTTCGTAAATGAAACACACACCGTTACTGGGTCTGAGGGCAGACAGATTTGTTTATAAAGATGTCAGAGGACTTCACAGTGCCTGATGCTTATCACAGACGTAGGCTCATGCAGTAGACAGTGGGCTGGGGGGAGGAATTTTCTCATAAAACCTACCAGAAAGTGATCTTGAAAGCATAGCTAAGATTTTTCAGATAAGGAAGAAGCACACAGTGCCTTTTTTTTTTTTTTAAAGGGTTAGGGTGACCCTGATTTTGTAGGAGCCTTATTTTTTTTCTGTGCAAATGTCTGAGACCCACTCCGGGGTTTTGAATCTGTTAATAGAAATGAGCAAGGTGTACTTTAAAAACCAAGACTAGTTGGCCGACTTTCCGCTAAGTGTCTCTCACAATCTAGCCACATTTTGGACTCCTGCCCTATAATGTCTCAGCTAGTGGAATTCTGGCCTCAATTTTTTTCTCTTCTTTTCTGTAACCCCCATGTGGATGGAATAAATTAGGGAGGCTAATAATAATTATGGAACGTTTTAAAGCACACTAATTAAATCTGTAATAATAGCTGAGGTTTGGATTTTTTTTTTCTTTTGGAAATAATATCTTCTTGTTGTTTTGGCTGTTTTTCTTCTACTGCAACTATTGACACAATCCTATTTTCCTGAAGGATCTGCAGTTGGGAGAAAAATGAAAGGAGTTTCTCACTCAAAGGAATTTTAGAGATGTAAAGCATTAGTTCTTAGAGTTGAAGAAACTGAAATGGAAAAAATAAAGGTGATGTTCTAATGCCGCATACTAAACAGTATCAGACCAAGGACTTGAAACTGTGTCTGAAAATTCTTCATCATATTCTTCTTGATATGCCATGCAAAATATAAACATTTAGATATGTTAATGATTTTTAAAAGAAAATATGACAGTGAGTCTTTTCTGTGGAATAGTAAAGGATTTTGTCTTCTCTCACATCTCACATAGAAGCTTCTGTTTTTCTTCCTTCTGCAATTTTAATTCTTACTAGATAATTACTAAAAACAATCGGGAGGGGACCTATGTTATTTTTCTCTTGAGATCCCTGTGGGTTAACCAGAAAGAGATTTGGGCAAGGAGGAAGCTTTAAAGTGGAGACTGCATTACAGAGATTGGTTCTCCAGCCTTCCAGATTGTTAGAAGTTTTTGTCAGTATGCTTTGGGGTGATGAATTAAGTTTTGTGAACTGACACACAACAAACTTACTGGAAACTGATTTCTAAAGAAAGTCCGGTGATTAACTTATAATGAAAACTAAAACTACCAACCAAGCGGACAGAGTATTTGTGTTTACTGAGTAGCAAAGAGAAGAGATGCCAAATTATAACTGAGAGGTTGCAGAGTGATTTAACCAGCATATGGCAAATTAGTAATTTAAATTATTAGCATTGATAGTCTCTTAATAACCCTGATTTTTAACTCAAGCTCATTCATAAATTTTAGTTTCCATGATATAATAAGAAGCTGTTTTACATACTTTTAAAAAATGTATTTTTTTGTGTGTGTGGTATTAATAGTTAACATAAACTTTTACATCTGCAAAAGAAAAACCTGCATTGAACTAAGCACATTTCCTTAAATTTACTTGTTAACAGTGTTTTTTTTTTTTACATCTATGTAAAGAAAACTTTAATTTTAAAGAAACATTTGGGTGTTTATGGAAGCAATGCCCCAGATTCCTAACTTAATAGCCGAAGATTACTTTGAGATGTGTTTTACCCACTGTTAGAATGTTGCTGTAAACTCTAATTTAATGCTAGGTGATCAGACTCTCTCAAGGGATAATTCTCACCCTTTAGGTGCCTACGAAAATAAGCACATGCATTTAAAGTGAGTGCTGGAATATGCACTCACTTTAAATGTTCTCTGTCCATCAAAAATCAGTTTTTCAAAAACCACCTAAGAACTCCTTACCTCTTTCAGAAAACCCTGCATGATGAATTATTTCTGATTCTGATTATACTACTCTTCTCATTTCAGAATTGATATGTTCTTTTTATCTCTATTAATATGCATTTGTTGATTTAAAATGTGCCTTTGTCCTCGTTATTTCATGACTGTGATAGCCAGCCTCAAAGATGGACCCAAATATTCCTCCCTCCTAATATTCATGATCTGCGTTGTACCCTTCCGTAGTGAAGAAGGCTAAACCAGATTAACGGACTGGACATTGTAGAAGTGACAGGCAGTGACTTCTGAGGCTAGGTCATGAAAGACATTGAACTTTCCTCTTTGCTCTCTTGAATCAGGCTCTGTGGGGGAAACTGCCTGACAGTGTGGGACACTCAAGAAGCCCTAACGGAGAGGCTCATGTGGTGAGGAACGAAGGCCTCCTGCCAACATCCATGTGAGAGAGCCGTCTTGGAAGAGGCTCTTCCAGCCCCAGTCAAGCTTTCAGTTGACTGTATCCCAGGATGACATCTTGACTACCACTCATGAGAGGTCTCAAACTGGAACCACCCAATTAAGCTTCTCTCTTCTTCCTGCAGCAACCGTAAAATAATAAATTTACATTATTTTAAGCTACCAAGTTTTACAGTGTTGTGCATAGGTAATAAATAACCCTAGCATAATGATCAATTCTGTTCTAACATGCAAGCTACTTAAGGTCATAAAATTTGCCATTCATTTCTTTTTTGTGTACAATCCTTTAGGCATAGGAGAAATAGCAGAACTGCTACTTGTGGTAGAGAAATGGTGACATTGCCACTGTGATTTGATGTCATAGTGTTTTTCTCTGTAAATTTATTAATAATAGGGATCCCAGTTTACTCATCTTTATCTTCAGTAATCTGAATTAGATGAACAGGTACCATAATCTAATCTCTTTAACCTATAACATATTTTTAGTGGTAGACTAACTCTCTGGTAGCTAATAAAATGTTCTTTTTTCTATGTCTCAGGTCCCTACAATAGGTAATAATAGTCTATTACAATTTTAGTAATCTGTGTAAAGTTATTTTCAATCTCTCTGTCTCTCCATCTGTCTGTCTCTCCCTCTTTCCCTCCCCTCCCCTCCTTCCTTTTTCAAACAACTAGCTGAAGATAGAGTGGAGGAAGTTTTTTTTTTTATATTTTTATATTTTTTACTATTTTTATATTTTTATATTTTTTACTATTGATGAGTTTAATACATGATCATTTCCCTCCTATTTAAAGTAGGCATAATCTCTCTTCTTTGAGTGAAATTTAAGAGAATTACCTCTGTTTTTGATATTTGACTTCTCACTATAATTAATTAATAAAAAATATATCTGAGAGTGGGGTAACCAATGAATTGAGGTGTAGAAGTAAAAATCACGCTGATGGGAAAATAGGTGAATTAGAGGGCTTCCATTTGTTACGATTGCTGGTTTATGATAAACAGGGATAACTGTTTTGCAAATATTAGAGCTGTTTTCATCCTTAACAAAAGCTTTATTATTCAGAAAGTATATCAATCAGTGTTCTCCAAAGAAACAGAACAAGTAGACAGACATATACATGTATATGTATGTATATAAAGAGATTTATTTCAAGGAATTGGCTTTTGTTGTGGAAGCTAGCAAGTTCACAATGTGTAAGACAGGCCTGCAGGGTGGAAAGATCAGGAACTGATTCTGAAATCTTTAGGTAGAATTTCTTCCTCAGCAAAGCCTCAGTATTTGCTTTTAAAGCCTTTCAACTGATTGGACAGGCCCACCCACATTCTCTCCTTTACTTAAAGGCAGCTGACTGTAAGTGCTAACAGCTACAAAATACCTTCACAGCAACACCTAGATCAGTGTTTGATTGAATAACTGGGTGCTGCCTAGCCAAGTTGACGTGTAAGACCAGCCATCCTCGAAAGTATGAATTTAGAATTAGCCATACAGTTCTCATGAATAGTAGGAATTATAAACTCCCCAAACAAGATTACCATAAAAAATGCTTCTAGAAACATTTGAAGTCATTGATTTTTGTTGTTATTGAAGATTGAAATACTTTTTATTTTTTTAATTAGTGAACCAGTTGAAGTCTTGGCACTCTACCTAAAAAGAGGTTCTGTGTCTTCAGAGATTTCCAGCTTTTAACATTAAATTCTTTCTATGTCTCTACATAAAATGAGCAAGGGCTTCTGGCACATAATTTGGAGTGAGAAGAAAAAAGTTGGAGCTTGTGCAGTTCCCCTAACAGCCACAATTTTATCCTTTTTATCTACTATAGATTCTCCACCAGTGAAAAATTTGGGTTTAATTTTAGTTAGAAACAGCTTTTTTTGGCAGTAACTCAGAGTTCAAACACATTATGTACACAATTATAAAAACTTTCATTTTCAGACAACAGGAGTAAACCAATCTAAGTGGGGCATGCCTAAGGATTCAAATTACATCCTTGTTTTATTTAAGAATCTGTCTAATATCATGTTTCCTAGCAGCTAAGGAAACAACTCTTGTCACTCCTCAAGGCCTAGAAAAGTTAGTGTCAGGTCCCTGGAGAGGTTGCTTTTTGTCATCTCTCCAGATATGCAAATTGCTTATCTCAGGGCGGAGATATTTACATTGCATTCAGACAAATGTTGCTTGTCTTTCTGGTAAGTAACATTAACAACAAAAATCACCCCTAGTTACTGACCCAATTACATCTTTCAAAGTAAAATTCTTGGCTACCTGCCCTTCCAATAGGCTGCCGGAAGATACTAGAAAGAGTTTCTAACTTCTGTAAACATTTCCAAATCCACTTAAAATTCAACTGAGTATTGTAAGTACTTGTCTCCTGGGATGTGACTGTTGGTCACCTGCTGGGCTGATATGTTGTCACTTGCTTCTATCATTTATTAGGACAGAATTGCCTGGTGTGTTAAGTATTTCTCAAAGGGTGAATCAATTCTAAAGTAAATACAAGTGGAAAGGCAATATTTTTACATTTGATTCTCTGCTCAAATGCAAATAAATTTAGATATGCAACGTACAGCCAACAAACATTGAAATTTCTTTAATACTCTATTCTTTTAAAAATGTTCAAAAATTCTGGATGGAACTGAGGCTATTTTTATTCTTCCTGAAAGTTACATTAATGACCAAGGATGAAAGACTGAAAATAGCTGAGTTTGAGGCTTGGTGCTGCCATTTATTAATTGGAAGTTCTTAAAGAAGCTATTTCACCACTCTGGGCCTCATTTTTTCCCCTGCAAAATGGAGAAGTGTGTTGGGGAAGGTCATTAAGAAGACGTGATTGTCGGTTTGACCTGGGAGTTGAACTGGGGCATTGGAGCCTGCTCACCCTCCCTGTCCTTGCTTGCCTTCTTCGTAGTAGAAGGTACCCAAGGACATAGTCTTGAGATAGTCCTGTGGTATTGAGACCATCTGGACTGTGTACGTGACTGGACCCAGTTAAAGCCTCTGTGTAAACTTTTAAGATTTGGTGAGTGGGAACTAGATCTACTTGCCTTGAGCTGCCCAAGACAAGCTTCATAAGTCAAGCTCCCTTGCTTATTAAACTTGCCACCTACTACTCTAGAGTGCTCTGCCTCTTTTTCTTTGGTCTCTCCCTGCCCTCTGCATACAAGGTTGGTTTCAGATGACACCTGGGAAGCTCCCAGGGAGGTTGCCACCCAACAAAGTAGGACTATAGCAGCAGCTCCCAGACTCATGTGATACATGGGTCAGTAAAACTAAAAACAAAAGAAGTTTTTATTGACATTGAACTGTCAATCTTTTCTCTTTTTGCTAAATAAGAGCATTTTAAAAACTCAAACTTCTACCATCTACTAGTCTCATCATTTTATTAAAGAAGGATTTGAATACCAAGAAATGGAAACAACTTAATCCCAGAATAATATCCTTTAAATGGAATAAACTTAGATTAAAGAAAAAATGACTACATTGTCTTCATTTACTCATTTATCCATAGACTTGTAAAAAAATTCATAGAAGACCAGCAACTGCCCTCCAACAGTGTTTTGGGATCACTAGTGAAAATGTTATTCAAAAACTAGGTTCATTTCTTGGTGGGTACTAAAAGATGCAACAAAGCCTAAGATTGGAAGAAAGACAGATTTGTTACTTGCAACGAGTAAGGAGTAAGGGAACACTGTAAATGTTCTCCCCCAAAGGCAAAATTGAGGAAGTTTTAAGCTAAAGATACATACATATTCATGAAGGGGCTTGAACAGAGGAGAATTCAGCATAGAATCGGGCTCAAGGTTGATAGAGTTCAAGCTTTAGTTGAGTGAAGTCACAAGGGTCAACATGATCATTCCACCCTCCACCTGGGTGGGGCCTTAGTTCCTGCAGAACTCAAAGATATATAATTATGTATAACCCTTGAGGGGGAACTGGGACTCCGCTTTATCACTGCACTGTTGTTTGACTCCCTGTTCTATGTTCCTGAATTCCTTTTTCCCTTAAGCTCATTGATTGCTAAGATCTGGTCAAGGGCAAGCATTATGGCCAGGCTTAGATCGCACAGTGGCTTAGGCCAAAATGGCTTCTTTTATATCAAGAAAGCCATGCCTGTTTCTCTTTCTCTGGAAGCCCCCTAACCTATCTGCTTACAGTTATTCTGCCACCACAACTATCTAGATTTTTTAAAAATAAAGAGACCAAGTGAAATAATTTGCACAAAGAGGTAGAAGAGCCACACTATGAACCCATATTTTCGCATTCAGAGCCCATCCTTCTGACCACTGATCTGCCCACAATTTCTATGGCTCTCTCTCTCCCTAAAACAATCTTGTCCATTCATTTTCCTATTACTCTAACAAATCATGACGACTCACATATACCTAACTTACAATTTCTAATGCATTAGCTGGACCCAAACCAGAAAATCAAGGCTGTTAGAATTAGGGGGCAGACAAGGAAAAAGCTTTGAGCAAATCCTGAAAGTTTTTTCTTCAAATATAGTTTGTTATTTTAATGCTGGGATTTTACAAAATTTTGTGTGTCTTCTTAATTCTTGCTTATATTGAGATTCTCATCCATACTGAGAACATGCTTTCTGTGAAACACCAAGTGATGTGCTGCAATGGTTAAATTTAGTGCCTGCATTATCTATTTTATGGTCTATTGTTTTGTGCATCTTCTATTTATCTAGCTGTGTTATACAGCTATATTGCACCATGTGACTTCTTCCCTAGAGTGAAAAAGGGTGAGCTTCCCAAAATGGTCCCTTCATGGTTTGCTTATTCCTGCATGACAGCAATGCTTTACTTATGATAGTCTCATACAGAAAGTAGTGACAATCATGATAACTGTAATGTTGTGATTTATAATAAGAAGTACATTTTTGGTTGTTCCCGTTTATATCACAGAGCTACTAAAACTCTTGGAACTTCTTAAGTGATGAGAGCCACAAAGGTGTCTTTTGTTATGTAAATGAGATGACTTGGACCACACCTAAGGCCAGGGGCTGATTGGCAAGGGAATCAATCGTGTGACTGGACGGTTGGAACTTTGGATTCTTTCTGGATTGGTGAACACATGTAGATGTGGGGAGAGTAGAGCACCCAAGGAAAGACGCTCCCCCTTTCCTTCCCCCTTGCCTTTCCCTGTGCATCTCTTCTATCTGGCTGTTCCTCTGTTTTGTTCTTTCATAATAAGCCAATGATCTAGTAAGTAAAATGTTTCTCTGAGTTCTCTGAGCCACTCTAGCAAATTAGTTGAACCCAAGGAGGGGTTGTTGGAACCTCAGATCTGTAACTGGTCAGTCAGAAGGACAGGTGATAATCTGGGCTAGAGATTGCCCTTTGAAGAGGGTGGTGGAGAGGAAGAGGGTCTTGTGGGACTGAGTTCATAACCTGTGGGATCAGTACTGTCTCCAGGTAGTGTCAGAATTGAGTTGAATTGTAGGACACTGGTGTCAGAGAATGGCTTGGTGGTTTAGGAAAAAAATGCCACACACAGTGGAATTTGGAGTCAGAACCAGTTAATAAAATATTTATATTTTAAATATTATTTATTTATTATTTATTAATATCATTTAATATTTATTAATATTAATAAAAGATAAGCTGTTCATCATAAATTAATCTTAGTTTAATAATTCCACAGGACAGGTTCTCTTAAAAAGTGGTTCTTAGATGAAAATTGGTCTGAGGTGGTCTATCAGTGAGTCATCTTTGCAACAGCACTTTGAAAGGTAAGAGAAGTAGGACTGGGCACAGAGAGAGGCTTTAAGATGCAGTAAAATTGCAGCAGAGGCCTCAGCCAACCCACAGAGAGCTCTGGGAGTGGGACTGCACTTCAGAGAGGTTCCAAACTGAGGACACAGGGCCAACTTGGAACACCTGCATCAACCAATCACTGGATGTGGGCTTTCCTTGAAAAGGAGCATAACTCTGAAAGGCAGCTCCTTTCAGCAGAGTGACCCCTGAAGGACTCAGTTGAGAGCGGTCGGCAGGCTACACCACCAGCAGCTGTGCGAATGAGAGCCTTGGCCCTTAATGGAGTGTGGGCAGTGCACCAAGGCATTCACTGCAGTGCACTCCTGTGGTGCTTAGATCCATTCCTCCTTGTAAGTAAGCGTCCTCCATCTTGGAATAGCTCTCTCTTATTGTAAGGCAGAGTCCTCAACATCACTTTTAAGCACTCACCTTTAACAGGGGTTCATGGATTTCTTCTGCAGGCCCACAGACTTGAAGGGAATCTGGGGATATGAGATTCTCAAGTACCTTGACCCTAATGCCCCCACTGCAAGTATCAGGATCCTACTCCTTCCCAGCCAGGTTGCTGCAGGAGAAGGCTAAGAACTCATCCTTCCCTGCTGTACCTACAAAGGCCTGGGTCAGATCTTTAACTTTTTGTGCTTCTGGCTACAGAAATAAGACTCTGTATATGCTGCCAAGGCCTTCTGGCTTTCACCTTTCACTTGTATTGGTAATTAATTGCCGACAACATTTTATTTTCTTTCCGTAATGTCTCAGAAGCTTCTGGCAACAATCATCTGATTTCATAACCCTTATAATTACAACTTCTCCTGAACCTCAAACACCTGAGATATTTCCGTTATCAGCATATTTCTTTCCACTTGTGTCCCATCCCAATTGCACAGTGGCAGAATGCCTGAGGCTCTCCAGATTCCACCCAGTATCAGTGATACGTCCTAACTGCTGCTGGATGAAGGTTGATTCAACTCCAAAATCCTGTTTTAGGACGTAATCCTCCTAGAGCCAACGCTCTTAAATGAGCTTCCCAGGGAATAGGCTCTGATAGAAATTCAAGTGCCAGAAAAACATCTCTAAAGGAGAGAGGGAAGCAAGAGGGGGAAGAGGGACATTAATATGTGATGCAGTTTCTACAGAGGCTCTCAGACAATCCCTACTTGAGGCAAAAGGGGTTTGTGCCTTTATAGCCCAGTATCTAACAATTACTGGATGTGAGCACCATGACCTCAGGTGATGCAGCTCTCCTGGGTGGGGAAGCGATTCCTGGGGAGGCACTTAGCCGTGGTCCACCAGTTGGCAATGATCCTAGCAGTTAGGAGATTGAGTACCTTGGCCTGAAATGAGAATCTATACTTACTGACTCTATCACATTTTTCAAAGGAAATCTTGGCTACCTGCCCTTTGTATAGGCTGCCAAAAGATAATAAC